CCCAGGTGGGTTTGTGGAATGCTTTGAGCTGCTCAGATGAAAGGACAAAGCTCTAATTTTGTGGATAACATAACCCCTGCTGTCAGTGGCCCCCGAGTCAGATGACAACAGGCAAAGACCCTCTGGAGCCAAAGATCCCGCTTATTGTCGAGGGAGGGCCGTTTGGCGCTGCTCTGGTAGCTTTCGGAGGGTGGTCTTGTGAAGAAGGTAAAGAGTTAAGGCCCCCGAAGGAGCTCTAATCACAGGCAGGTTGGAGGATAAAGCCCAGCTTCCTTGCTCCTCAGGTGGGGTGACTGTGAGGCAGGCTCTGTGCCACTTCCCAGGCCCTGGAGGGCTGAGCTTTGGCTGCCCACAGTGCAACTTGCTCATCTGAAATTCATGGGTTCCTTCTCCTCCCTATCTTGCTTCCAGAACATCTTGGGAGTTTTTTCTGGAATCCCCTCCCAAGTCCAGTCTACTCCATCTAGACATCATGTGTTTTTGCACCATTGCCATTTCCCTGAGGTCCTCAGTCCTCTAGCTAGGCCTGTCAGAGTGGTCCCAGTCCCGGTATCCCCCTTTGTTCCAGTCCAGGCCTCAGAGATTTCTCCTTCCTCTGAAAGGAAGGCACTCTTCCCTGCTCATCTGGCAGGTAGTCAGACACAGTGCACTCTCTCCACTGTGGAGTGGGCTGGATAGGAAACGTGGGAACCAGACATGGATTCTGGGCCCCGAGTCCTGGCTTGGGTACTTCCTAGCGGGAACCTTGAGCAAATCACCCAACTTCTCTGACCTTCAGTTTCCTCCTTGCCTGGTTGGGTTGTTCTCTGGATTTAATGAACTAAATACAGGGTGTCTCTCCCCACCTCCCCAACCCCATGTATGCCCACATGTAGGTTTTATTACATTTTGAAAAGGAAATGTATCTTAATGAACACTGCCTTTATAATTATCCAAAGTGTGTAGACATTTTTTGGGACACCCTTTTATAAAGAGCCAAGGATATTGGCAAATACTAGAAGATACTCCAGAAAATAGTTATCTGCAGTCCATTATTCTCTTTCCTGATTTACTTTCTCATGCGTCTCCATGCTGTTTCACCTAGACTGTGGCTTCTCTGCCACATTTAACTTCTCACACTGCCTTGCCATGGCAGGCACTAAGCATTTTTCCTGAGTTTTATATCAATCCAAATTCATTTACAGATTGTTTCTTATTGTGAGGAATTCTCAAAGGATTTGTAGCAGGTCACTTCTGTTCGGGGCCTCCACTTCCTCAGAGGCAGAACAAGTATTTGGGTACCTATTTCTAGATGCACTGAGGTCCTCCTAGCATTAAAGTTTGAATGCTATCTGTTCATTGAGGGCACATACTGTATGTTGTTATTCTTTCTGACCACCTAACACTTAACACAATGGTGGTCCCGGAGTAAGGGGCTACCCAGGGCATGTAGAGCCAATTCCAGACCCCTCCCAGCCATGCCTCTTACCACTTTCCCTCTCTGACTCCATTCCAGCCAGCTTTTCTCTGTACTCCTGGCGCTTCCTGGCTTGGTCTGCCTTGAACCTTTGTTTGCACTTGCTGTTTCCCATCATTGGGTTCTCTGCCCAATTCCTCCTCCAGGGAGGTCTCTTGTTCCTCCTGTCTATCCCACAACCCTTTTTTCATTTTTGTAACTGCTCTCTGAAATTGTCTTATCACTTATTTGACTTCATTGTTTGCATTTCATTTGCATTAATTGTTTCGGCTCCCTACCTCTTCCTCTAGTCCCCCACCATCTTGGATCCTTCCATATCCCTGCTGCTAAAATAGTATTAGCACTGACGAAGCCCCTACATGAATGTGGCATGAACGAATGAATGAATGAGCGAGCCCTCTCATGCCTTACAGAGTAGCTGTTAGGTAGCAAGCTCAAATCTGTGGTCATCATGCCAGGTTCCAGCGGACCTCTTTCGGTATGCCCCACACGACTTTCCTGCCATAGCTCTGAGTAAACATGGAGCGGGAAGAAACAGGAACTCCTAGAAAGAGAACTGCAAACAATTCTATCAGTTTATCTAGTAGCTTACTTGCAATGGCAAATGCAGATTAATTAAAGAGAATAATTCTTTTTATTAAGGAAAATTCCGAACACACACATAAGTAGATGTGGTGGAGCATGGCCTATGGGACTTGCTGGTACGCTGTGGTGGACACACCCTAGACTGGCCCCCCATCCTCATGTCCATTCCCTTGTGTACACAGTCCCCTCCCTGGAGTGTGTGGAAACCTGTGATTGGCTTTCTCACCCACAGAATGTGGCACATTTGATGTCACCTCTGTGTGATTAGTCCTGTTATGTAAGATTGCATCTTGCTAGCAGACTCACTCTGGGGGCTCTCCTTGCTGGCTCATTGAAGCCAAGTGGCCATGCTGGGGAAGCCCCCAGTGACAACGGGCTCCAACACCAGCTGACAGCCAGAAACAGGCCAGGTCCTCGGTCCTACAGAGGCAAGGAGGTGAATGCTGCCAGTGACCTGCGTGTGGACACTGATGCTTTCCAGGTGAGCTCCAGATGAGGATGCACCAAGGCCAACACCGTGCTGCCAAGTGTGAGACCCTGAGCAGAGGACCCCGGTGCCTGGACACCTGAGCCATGGAAACTGAGGTAATAAATCTGTTGTTTTAGGCTGCTAAACTTGTGATAATTTGCTGCAATAGGTAACTACAATAAATTGATAATTTTCCAGTTTGCCAATATTGTTTCATCTATACTGTCATGTTTTGGGGGAAATGGGTAGGCTGGAGTATTTTAAGGCACATGCAAATTCTTTAGTATGTATAACTTTTAAAAAACATAACCACAATGCCAGAAAAATTAGGTCTTGATTGGCAACAAGAATGAGGATCTTTATTTTAAAGCCATCACGCCATGGATCTTGACTGGGCACTCTGAGAAAAGTGCTTGGAACAATTCGAAGGAGAACAGCATCCTGTTGATCCCATGAGCTAAAGGGCAGAAAAGCATATGACAGCTTTCACTTGAAATGCCAGGCTTGCCAGTTGTTGTTGTTTAATAGCGTAGCCAGAAAGAACTTAATTGTCCCCAAAATGTGCTTCTCCGTCATGCACTATCTAAAACCACTGGAACTCTATTCTGATTATATAAGAGCCTACTCAGTCCCCTAACCTGCTTTGGGATAGATGCTTGTAAATTCCATTTTTTTTTTTTTAATTCTAAAACCCTTGTAACTTAGGTGTCTTTTTCTAATCGCCACCCCCACTATTAGAGGAAGCTCTCCCCAACTGGCCCTGATCTTTTCCTCTTTTGGTTAAATGGGTCTCTTCTCCCTTTGGCACAGCTCCCAGAGGAGGCAGCGCTTTGTGAGGGAATTTCTCGGGGTTTGGGGTATCCCATCTCCACCACAGGAGCGCTTTGTGATCGCTGGCAAGCAGTGGAGCACCTGGAAGCTGGAGACAGCAGTGCCTCGCAGGGCGGAGCACAGACTGCACACATACCGTGCACAGAGCTGGCACGGAGGGGGCACGGCGTCCCCAGCGTTCTTTGTTAGCTCCCACCTCCGACCGCCAAGCACCAGAAATGCCAGCACCCTGCCGCTCCCGCCTTCGTCGCGGGGGATGCTGGGATTTGTAGTCCTCCATTCCCAAGTCGGTTTTCTCTCGGAGCCGGCCGGCGAGAGGAAGAACTACACCTCCCAGCGGGCCCGGAGAGGACAGCGGGGCTCGGAAAACCGAGCGTGTGCGCCGCTGCCCCCGCTTTCCGCTTCCCACGGGCAGTGCCAGGCGCGGCGGGCGCGGAGCCCGTGCAGCGCGGCGGGGACAGCGGGGCGGCGGGCGGAGGTCCCCCAAGGCCGCGGGGAGCAGAGCAATAAAGCGAGCCGAGGAGCGCCGGCGGGAGAGCGGGAAGGGAAAGGCCGGGCAGCAGCCCCCGCACAGCCGGCCGCCGCCGGTCCCCGGGCGGGAGGCGGGGCCGGCCCGGAAGCGGCCCGCACCGTCCGCTGTCCCCCCTCCCCGGGACCCCGGCCCGCAGCTCCCTCCGGGGTCCAGCTGTCCCGTCACCCCCCCCCCTCCCGAGCATTAAAGCCGCCCGCAGCCACCGCGCCCCCCGGGAGGAGGCCGTGCCCGCGGCCGGGAGGGACCCTCTCCGTGCGGGTCCCAGAGCCGCTAGATGGGGGGTGTGTCCGAGGCCGCGGCCGGGAGCCCGGGAGGGGGGTGGGGACCGGGGCCGGCGGGGAGCGCACGCCGCGGCGGGCCGTGACCTCGGCGATGCCGGGGAGCCCGTCCCCGTCCCCGTCCCCGACCCCGGCCCGGCCCGCCGGCGGTGCGGCTCCGCAGAGAGAGGAGGAGCGGAAGGAGGAGCCGGGGCGCCGCGCGGCCGCCGCCCACCCGCGGCAGGAGGCGGACCGCTCCGAGCCGCGGCCGAGCCTCGCAAACAAGTGTCCGTGCGCTCGCTCGCCCCGCGGTCGGAGGCGCTCTCCGCCCCCGCGCCCGCCCCGCGCCGGCTCCTGCGGGACAGCGGGAGCCCGGCCGCGCCCGCCGCTCCGCTGCGATCCCGCCCGCGTCCCCACCCCTGGGAGGGGTTGCCGGTGCCGGAGGGCCTCCCGGTTGCCGTCTCTCCGGGGAGGACCCGCCGCCGGAGGAAGGAGCGGACCTACCCTGGCCGAGCCGCGCGCGGGGCTCCGAGCAGCCGGCTCCGCGGCCGCCGCCTCGTGCTCTCCCCGCCCGCAGCGCGCGGGGCCCGGGCCGGGGGCGGCGGGCGCGGGGGCGGCCGGGCGGCTCCACGCGCCCCGCGGGGGCCCGGCGCCCCGGGCCGCGGGCTGGAAGCGCCCGAGCGCCGCCGCGGGCTGCGGGCGAGCGGCGTCCCCCCGGGCGGGGGCGCCGGCGATGAGCGCTGGGCGCCCCGCGGGCTCGGCCCGGGCGCCCCCCGCGAAGTTGCCGCCCGGCGCGGACCCCGCGTAGAGGGGCGGCCGTGGCGCGGCGGGGCCCGTGCGGCCGGGGGCTCCGGGGGGCGTGCGCCCCGCGCCGGCTGCGCGCGTGGATGTCTCCGGGCGGCGGCGGCGGGCCCATGGGAGACTGCGAGTACAGCCAGATCGGCACCCACAGCCCCTCCCCCATGGAGGCGCCCCCCGCGGAGAAGAAGCGGGTCCGGGCGCGCAGGAAATGGGAGGTCTTCCCGGGGAGGAACCAGTTCTTCTGCGACGGCCGCATCATGATGGCCCAGCAGCGGGGCGTCTTCTACCTGACGCTCGTGCTCATCCTGGTCACCAGCGGGCTCTTCTTCGCCTTCGAGTAAGTGGCGGCGCCCCGGCCCCCGGCCCCTGCCCCCGGCTCCCGGCGCCTGACCCCCGGCGCCCGGTCCCCGGCGCCCGCCGCCCCGCCCCGCCCCGCCCGCGGCTGCTTTCGCTTCCCCGAGCTGTCCGTCCGGGCTGAGGTTATGTAATGCCAGCCGCGCTCCCGCGGTTCCGCCGGAGGTGTCCGCTCCGGGTCCCAGGACAGAGCCGCGGGGGCCGGCCGGGGGCAGGGGCGGGGCGGGGGCGCTGGGAGGGCGCCCGGCCTGGCGCTCCCGGGCGGGGTGCTCCGCGCAGGTGGCCGCTGCTCGGCGCTGTCTCCGCGGAGTTTGGAGGCGAGCGGACGGCCCAGGTGTATGTACCCCGAGGGCGGGGGTGAGGAGCGGCTGGAGTCTCGGACACAGAGGCGACTTCCTTTCCTGCGCGCAGGCTGTGGGGCTCCTGTGAAGCCCGGCTGCCCGCGTCTTGCAGGGACCTTGGCGGAATGATGAGGAGTCCCGGGTATTCTGGGTGTCAAGTGCAGGCCACCCAGGATGGTACCGTCATGTTTCATTCTGCTTAGATGCTCACTCTTGCACAATTTCTGACTCGCCGCGATGTTTGGAAAAGGTCTGCTTTTTTAAAGAAAAGGTTCAACAGAAAGTGTCCCACACACCCGCCTGGCCTTCCCCTCCCCAACCCGGGAGCAGGTGCAGGATGCTTTAGACCTGGTCGGGAGCTGTCCTTTGGGACTTGAGCGCTTTTATCCGGAACAAAAGTGCAAGCAAGTCTCTGCTGTCTTTAGAAAATCACAGTGGCCAGTAGCAACTGTCCACCTAATGAAGGATCTTCGCTTTCATTAATGGTGTTAGGGAAAGCAGTTTACCCACATTCCAGAATCAGTTTCAGCTCTTCTGTGGTCCAGCATGTGCAGTGAGCTTCTTACATAATCCTGGATCTTATGCTCAATGGAAGTTGTAGTCAACTTTAATCCTTTCCCCCAGGATTAAAAAGGCAGTCTGCTCCCCGGAATTTTCTGTGCCTCCCACATCCTGATTGTTATGGGGCACCGTACCCGTTCACCGCCTTCTGCTGCACAGAGTTAATTAAAACTCTGTGTTTCTTTACTTTTATTTCTGATGAGTGTTAATAGGCTCTGATTTGGTGCCTGGAGTTTGATATTATAAATGCGGTCTCAATCAGCGCTCTCTCAGCGGTGCACCATGTCATACTGAAGGTGCTCTGACCCTGTGGGGAACACGCTGTATCTGACTATGGTGAGCGGTTTTAGCAGGATTTAGTTAGAACAGGTGAGGAGAGAGAGCTCAGTCTAAGCTACTCCCCTCCCCCAGGGTCTTCTCACACACACCCCCTCCCTTTTGACTAAAATACCCGGGTCTCTCCAGCAGGGTAACTTGTGCACAGTTGAGACTAGTTGATTGAGTCTGTCAGAGGTCGTGGGGACAGGAGGGAGTGGTTGTGCCGGGCTTTTCCCTTCTGCTGCCTCATCCGCAGCCACCCTGGTCCTTACAGACCGGGGAGCTGAGGAAGGGGCGCGAGGTGCCCGGTGAGTCTGCATTCTGAGACTTAAATTCAGGCGCCGGAATGATGATGCCATGTGGTTGCACAGAAATTCTAATTAATGGTGGTTTTCATTACAGGTGGTCAGTTAGATGGAGAGTATTCACCATGTTCCTACTGTTAAAAAAGTTTTGAAGGGCCCAGCTGCCATGGTTCAGTGGTTGAGCATTGGCCTGTGAATCAGGAGGTCATGGTCAGATTCCAGGTCAGGGCACATGGCCTGGTTGCAGGCTCCATCCCCAGGAGGGGGCATCCAGGAGGCAGCTGATCAGTGATTCTCTCTCCCTCCCTCTCCTTTCCTCTCTGAAATCAGTACAATGATATATTAAAAGAAAGGTTTTGAGGGATCTATTTTGGCATTTTTGCTCTTTTTAGCAGTTTTAAGAGTGGAGAAAAGGGGCTAATTTTGAGATTGTGCTGCGGAGTATCAGCCACAAGTGTCTTTCCTGCAGAATGATGAGCATTTCCTTTGCTGTCACCAGATCCCCACTGTATGGTCAGCCCCCCGCCCCAGTTATTAGTTACCACCTTTTATTTTTCCCATTCAAACGTTTAGCTGAACTAAAGCATTATAAACTCATTTTCTCTTCCTTCTTCCAAGAGTTCCCCAAAGTGCTCATTAGCAGGCTGTCACAGTCCTTTCCCGCATCGCGCTGTGCTGACTGATGGCTGTAGGAATCAGCACGTGCCCTGGGTTTATTAGCTGCTGCCGGCAGCTTCGTTTTTATATCAGCTGTGTGTGTGTGTGTGTGTGTGTGTGTGTGTGTGGTCTCCATGAGTGTTGCTTAATTAGGCAATTTGAAATTTCAAGAAGGTAGACCCATCCTATCAGGCTGCCTCAGTTGAGGAAAAACATAGGGCTGTTCAGACTATAGACTATTATGGTTTGGCAAATAATGTTTGTATTGCGTTTAAGTTCTTTGTCATTGCTACTTGTAGAGTGAAAATAACTGTGGCTAAATTAATTTGATAGAGACTCAGAGAACCAATTAGCTACATGCAGAGGTAATGAAATACAAACAGGCTAAAATCAAAGCGACCCACACAGAATGCTAGTTTGATCTCCTTATGCCCGATTCCTCGGTCCTTTCCTTAGTTACTGATCGAGCACATACAATGTGGTTTTGCCTACTTTGATGAACTTTGTGTCTGGATAACTTTTAACATTCGTAGAATTCGTTTCCAAACATCACACCCCATGCTTCCCCATACAGTCACACAAAGGCAAATTTGAATTTTGAAAAGAGGACATGTAACTTCTAAAGTTAGTTTCAGGCCTCCTTCTCCAGGGACTCTGCCCGCCTCTCTCATTCCCAGCCTTGAACAGGTGGGTGAGGAAGTCTGCGAGGGACGTGAACTTGTGGAGCACAGCAACAGGTGCGGTCACTGTCCTCCCCTGGGAGAAGGGCGGGAGAAGTCACTGTTCCCACCTGGGAGGGAGGGACGGGCTGGCGGGTTAACAGCACTGAGGTGGCACAGTGCCCATGGCAGGGTTCTGGCTGCAGAGCCAGCCGCCTCTGGCCCCGGTGCCGCTCCCCGACACACAGCAGTGGTTACAGCCATGGATTTTGGATGGACAGTTCCCAAGATCCTTACCAGGAGCGTGACCTGGGAAAATTATATGACTTTAAAGCCCCAGCTTCCCAATCTGTTCAATGGGATTAATATCTAGCTTTAATGCTGTGAAGATTAATGAAGATGTGTATGTAGTGCTGTGTCTGGTAGAGAAGAGCAAGTGCTCAGTAAACAGTGCCTCTGATTGGGGGAGACCTCGGAAATAGCCTCCGGAGGTCTCTGCCCACCCTCTCTGAGAGCCTTGGGAGGACCGGCTATGTGGGTTAATAAGCAGGCATGACAGTGACAGCTTGTTAGGGCGATAGTGCAGATCTGTGGTGTCTGAGCTTAAAATAAAGGCCTCCGGGGAGTGGCTTCGCCCTGCGCCTTCAGAGTGGGTCCTGCAGGGGTGGCTGGAGACCATCCTCATCCAGACCCTGAAGAAGAGCACTGAGCAAGCCTGCAAGGGGCGAGGACTGGATTTTGACTCCATTTTGGGAGCTGCCATCTCAGAACCGTGGACACAGGAAAGAACACTTCGAGGAGCGACCTGGTGCGCCTTGCCGTCTTTTCCAAGTAGGGCAGGCCGTTTGTCTTCTGGCGTCTTTTATTCACCATGTGGATGTGGATGCACAGTGACAGCGTCTCCTGGCTGTATTTAAGAGGAAGGGAGGGTGCTGGTTGCAGTGTTACGGAGCAGCTTGCTGCTCCTTAAGGGGCTGGCTCATCAGAGGCTCCCTGCACTGTCCCCATCTCACACCCCCATACTTGCAATGGGAAGAGATCAGCGAGCATTGCAAGAGCGCACACACGCACACACGCACACACAGTCTGCTGTTTCACGTTGGAAATAAAGTCTTTGGTCCTGAAATATTGGCATTTCATACTCTCTTGATCACAAGGGCGGAAAGAAGGAGATGAACTGGGAGGCAGAGCAGATCCTGTTTTCAGGAGCATCCTGGGAGGTGAGGGGGGGCCTGCTCAGATAGTGCACTTGAATGCCTCCCAATTCGGTACTGTCCCATGGACAGTTTGGAGATGTTACTAGAACTGAAGTGCTTGAGAATGTGGGAACATTCTTAAATTTTTCATCACTAGACGTCTATTGATGATTTTTTTTTTAAGTCAATTGTATTTCCTCCTTCCCCCTCCTCCTCCCCCTCCCCCTCCTTTTCCTCCCCCTTTCTTCCTTCTCCTCTTCCTCTTTCACCTTTGGCTAATCACCTCTGAAATACAGTAAGTTCCCACTTAATGTTCTCGTTGATAGATTCTGTGACTTTAAGCAAAATGGATAATGAAACCAATTTAACCGTCGGCTAATTGATATAAACAAGAATTAAGTCCCTATGGCATATGGCATCTCATCAACATTATCATGGACAATGTTGAATGAAGTTGGCATATTTCGAGGACGTGCTGTAACTGATGAATAATTGGTAGCCACCTTGAAGATGGAACAAAGGACTGTCCCCATAAACAAAAGCACCATTTCCAATAATTTCTCCTTTGCAGATGAGAGATCCTTCATTATCTAGCAGAAGGTATTGCTCTTATAACATGTAAGCATCCCATCTTTTTCCAACCATCCTCTTCAGAACTGCATCCAATTTTCTACCACCTCAGAAAACATCCAAAAAGTGGCCGAATGCTGGCCATGCTGTGCCTCGGAGAACACCATGGGGTTGATAGTAGATGATAGTAATGGCTATTAGGATCTCATCACTGAACATGAGTACATGGTGTCAAGGACATTTTATAACCCACTATGGCCCCGTGAAAAGCTAAGGTTGCTTCAGAACCTTATTAAGGATTTCTAGGCTTGAGTGCACAAACCCTTGCCGGTGTGTACATGAGCAACACATGTAATTTTTCTGAGGGTGGGACTCC